TCTTCGCGTAAAAGAAAAGCGTAGAAAATTCTTTCATACGCATTTTCATAAGTGGGCCTTATAACGGGTGACCACTCTGTACTTGGAGACTATCATAATATACATATAAGCGTATATATTTATACGTACTATGTCGCGAATCGACACGCGTTTACTATATGTATGCGGTATGCCAGTGTATCTTTTTAAGGGGATGCAAAGACGAGTCGTATTTTCCATGATTTTCGTGATTACTCGAATTTAATCTGCTCTTGCCGGGAGATGCGTGATTTCGGCGCGTACACATAAGTGGCAATGCATTTTCCTTTGCAGTTTCGAGTGTGGGTTGCCCTTTCTAGTCTATAATAATAATAATAATGATCATTAGTTATATAAGTCCATCTGTACCCGCATTCTAGTCAGTTTATTTTTTTCTTCTCACATTTATTTTCTTTTTGCAATTACCACAAACCGCTTTGAGTGACTTTAGCATATCTCATTTGCGATTTATAATTACGTTAATGATTCTGCAGCAATTTATTACTTAATCTAATGTCGATTTAGTCTATTTAAAGAACGACAATATCGTCCTTTTGTTATTAAAGCTGGAACGTCCGATTCATTTTTTTATAACTTTTATACCTCAATTCTTCTTATGCATTTTTATTCTTGCCTTGAATATAATTTATTTACGCAGAATATTATCGCATATATTTAATCTTTCAAGCTACGATTTTTAAAATTTTTGTGTCGTTTGATTGCCATTTCGTTGCATTTATTAGCTACTAATTAACTATTTAGTAGCTAATAATTATCGAAAGTTCTTTTTTTTATTCATTCGTACTTTAAAAAAATTGATCATTTATATTCAAATAGTAGATGAAAAATTAATATGCGCAACAAATGATTAATAGGATCTTTAACTATCTCCTTAAAAATAATAATGTCAAAAGTTTTAAACTGTAAACGTTAATTGCACCTTGAATTGTATCGCTAAAATTACATGGGATAAATTACATTTCCGGACGTTCCGAGTTAAATGCAATTAAGCGTTCATTAATAACTTCCGCACCTACATTCAATGAGCGGATCATCCATCGCGTTCATTATGGAATAATAAACAGTGACAAATCATCATCGGATATTCCATTATACGCTTAATCATCGATCATTATGACGAATGTCTAATGATCCTTCGCAAAGACGCGATTATGAATGGTCGCGACGGCCACACATTATGTCAGTATTATTCACATTAGAATTGGAGGCGGAATATCGGAATATTTTTAATAACTTAAGACTGGATTTGAACTTAGCACACCGATGTTTATTATCAATTGCTTATCATGGCGATCTATAATTGATCTATGTGATTATCCAAGCGATATCTAAATCTTCACATTCGTAATAATTTCGTAAATAACAGAAATTAATTTATAATTATAATAATTATAATTATAATAATTAACAAGTCAACACAATGATATTTTGTATAGAATGATAAAATTTTGATAATTACATCATAGAATCATTAGAAAACTGGTCAGTTATAAACACAATTATTAGATTACACTTTAATAACATTACATATGAGTAGTGTTACATAAATAAAAATTCTACACATCCTAAATTTTGATTCCATGCAGTTATACTAATCGAGAATTAATCTCGTAGATCGTCGCATTGAAATTTTACAAATAGCTTTCGCTTTCATAAGAGGCTACATCACTACTAAGCATATCTATGAAAAATGAGGGAGAGGAAGGAATAAAAGAAAGAGAGAAGGAGAAGAAATATGAAATCATTCCACTGCGCATTAGCTTACATGTATAATTAATTTTTGTAAAGTACGCGAAGAAGCTTATATATGCAGATATATATAGAGATAGATATATTATATAAAGACAGATATATAGTTTGTTGAAGCTAGTTCTTTTGCGGCGTTTTTATCTTTTTTTCTTTCTACGTTCTTTCATTTCTCAACAAGACGTTAAAATATATATGTAAGGCTATTAAATTAAATTATTCGCTATTTTGATAAATCCACACTTGGTGCTTGGTATATTTTTGTTCGTTGTTGTTTTCTGTAAGCTCGTAAAGCTTCTGATCTATTTATACGTACCTATATTTATTCCGCGGCGTCTTGCTAAATGCCGCTTCATACTTGCAAGATCGATCGTGCCTGCTCACCGAGCTCAGACAATAATTCCTTTCTAAATAGATATGTAGCTTAAGCAGAGTCAGAATCGGCGAGCCCAGCACGATCGACTCGTCTCAACTTGGTCCTCGGTTCTCTAATGAAGCATATCAGCTGATCTTACAACACATTTTTATCACTGCGATCGAATCGGGTCTAATTTTCGTGTTTATCGTAATCTTTCATTAATATTCAATATCGATTGTACACATATAATGAAATCACAATAAATACAAAAAATGGGAAATAAAAAATCTCTTATAAAAATAGCAGATCTTTACGAAAAAAATTCATTTTCAAATTAATTATTAAGTTTCGTAAGAAAAAAAACTCGAAACAATGTATACACACACAATTAAAAATTTAATATTATATTTTAAATATAAAATATAAGTATACATATATAATATATAATTTTTATTGAATTATTAATCATTTAGTAATTTAGGAAATTTTATCATTTGTAATTATTACTTATCATCCCCATTAATGTTCAATTAGTCGATAATTTTTTTTGTTAAAGATCTATCTGTGCCTACATAGTGAATCATGTAAGAACAGTTGAATATGAATTTTTAATACTATAGTGCTCAATAAATGTGTCTAATAAGGAAACACTGCCTAATTTAAATGGAATTAACGATCCGATTCGATTGTCGTTAGAATCGAGTTACCAATGTAATGTGCGCATTTATTGGAGGATTTGTATTTACAAATCCTCACAGAGTGTTTCTCCATTTTGTCTTTCATATTTAATTTATTTATATAAATTAATGTCATATGCAACACTCGTCCGCCATCCCTGACGCTTCGTTATTAGAGAGAACGGTCCTAGTAGCGAGACAATTGCATCTTTTTTTCAAATTTTAATCTCTTTTAAAAAAATTGAATCTCTTTTAATTGTTTCGCCGCTCGGACGAGAATAATATCATGGACCTTGTTTTCCTCCTTTGAGATGTGCTCTGTAATGTTGATTGTATGAGTAAAGCATAATGATTGTAATACTCTATAGCTATTTATAATAAAAATATATCCTTTTCTTAAAATGTGTTTTATGCTCGATTTAATGATGAGATGTGTTCCAAGGAATTTCAAAACTCACATTTCTTTATTTTTCACAAATATAATTTATAAATACGCGTGAAATCTTTGTAAAAATTTAAAAATCAATTTATATAATTTGTTTAAGAAATAATTATTTATTCTTAAAAAAGAGGTTTCCCTAATTTAAAATTTGAATTTGTGCATATTTTTAATTATACATTTCCTGTCTCTTCATTTCTATTTCATAAAAGAGTCATATCTTCTTATTTATACATAAATTTTTAATATGTAATTTGAACTGAATTAAATAAATAATAAATGTCATCTTTTAATTTTTAACATCATCCAGACATTTATAATTTTACGATTCAAGCACACATAGAAAGCTTGCAGATCTACAGTTACATTTTTTAAATGAAAATTGCAAGTATATACGCTCGCTTCAGAAAAAGAGATTTACTAAAGACACGTGCATTATTCTTGATAATTTTCCAGAATCTTGTGTGCTGCGCCAGTGATGTCCTGGAAGGAGGTCGTGGGGTTGTACGCGTCGCGGTTACCGTATCCGAGCTACTAAGATTCCATCAAACACGCTCGCCGCTGCAAACATCCTCGAGCATGCCGAATCATGTGCCTGCTTAGCGTCAGACTATCTAATTCGCGAAATCGTCTGGCGAGAGATCCGGAGTCGGCTTCCTTATCCTTGCGCAGGAAGAGGGAAGAAAACGACGAGGATGAGAGAAGAGACCGCGTGGCGGATGCGCTCGAAATGTGCACCGAGACGAGACAGAAAGTCCGAGACAACTTTTTCCTTCGAATCGTCGATACTGAACTGGAATTTGCTCGATCGCTTCCGTTTCGACGTAAGTCAAGCGTTTGCAGATCGACAACTCGATACACGAATTGATTATCAATCGTTAACTGGTGAAAACATTATATATATTGATGCTTATGTTTGTTTGCAACTAAAAAAATTAATTGGCAAAATAATAATTACCAAAATCTTAAAAAAAAAAAACGAATTTTTTAATTTTTTAATTCACTAAAATATTGTACTTTAAGAAGCTCTGCTTTAGAATTTCAAACTAAAATTTTTTAAATGTATGGCAAATTTATAAATTTCACACATAACAGAGTAATGCAATATTTATGTAGTGATGCAATATTATACAAGTTACATTAAACCAGTTAAGGATTGAATAGAATGGAATACTCGGAATTAGAATTTAGATTTAATAGCGATACTTAATTAATAAATGTCAGGCGAATAAAGTATTCTTATGAACATACTTTTTAGATAACATAAACGTTTGAAAGATATCTAACAGACGCCGTAAGAATATCTAAAAGAGATATCAATCTTTTAGGTATCCATCAAACATTTAAGAGACGTGCTAATCCTTCGCAAATCTATTAGATTTCTAAAGGATATGATCGTCCTAAAATGTTTCTTAGATATCTAAAAGACTGAATTTTTCAAGCATCTTTTTGAATGTTTGTGTTATGTAAATTGTTTCGAAGCTTCTCTCAGCTCGAGATAGTCCTTAGGATACAACGAGTCGATAGTCTCGATTGCGAAGTGATTTTTTATCGAACCGACAATAAGTCGCTTTGTCGCTATAACTTTTGCACGAGCGCTTCGTAGAATTGATGAATCGCTTTGAGACCACGAAAGGATAAACTCAAATAAGCGGTCGCGTATTAAGCTAATCTATATGAAAGAAACTCTTTTTTATCCTTCGTACGATAAGCAACCTGTGGTAATACAACCTGTGTTAATATCGAGAGGATTTTTCTCATCAAAAACCGCGCGCGAGCAAAATCGCACGTACGACGTAACGATAGACTGCAGCCATGACACTTAATTAGGTATAACGAATTTTATATGGAGAAACGAGGTCGGACATACGATGATGCTTATTTTTGCTCGTAGTTACAGCTGGATCCTTAGAAGTCCTGAAATAAAAACAAAACGGGCATTTTATAAAATAGAGAGACGGGCATACGGAATTAAGAGATATTAGATGTAGGCTGCGTGTCCACTTAATCTTCAAAAAAAATCTTATGAAATTGAAGAATTCTTAATCTTATAAATCAAAAATACAAAAAATCGAAAAATTTTACTTATATATCATATGCATTTATAGATATGTATGAAAATTATATAGGACCATATGTTGTTTATTACGTTTTCTCAGAGAAAGTAAGGTGGACATTCAACCTCAAGATTCTATTTCATCGGGCTGAAAAAGGTATTCGAGCTTTTGAATAGCGTAGTCCTGTAATATCCGTGATCTAATATCTCGCATGCATGCGTCGCTAAAGCTGAGTTTGTAGACTAGACTGGCAATCCATAAATACGAGTATCCCAAAGACATGTTATACGAATCTTCGATTTCTATCGCTTCATTATCGTTACATGCCTTAAATGGAAATAGTGTTAAATGTAAATGGATTTTTATTTCGAAATGTACGACATTATTTCTCATATATCAGCATCTCTAAGTACATTCTTATGCTTGATGACAACAAATCTTATATCTTATTTTTAGTTTAACAATTGAATTTAGTTGAACAATTTAATCATCAAGTGTATTCATTTCCATAAAAATTGAAATTGTCACTTCAATTTGTATAAGATTGTATTGATTTTGAATTAGACTATCCTTCGCGACATATTATCTCATAATTATATATTATATTGCTTTTATTATTTAGCACATATTTTTTATATTTTTTAGAATATATTTTTTCGATAAATATAAGAATCAAAATCATGATATAGAATAAGATAGACAAAGAATGTACTTATGGATGCCGCGATATTTGATATTCGTGATTCGCGAAGGAAAGCGGTCTCATCCCATTTCCAAAGAATTATCACGTGTCAAACACAGATCAAAGAAGAGATCAAAGTAGATCTCTGCGCGAGCAGACGGTAAGTTAGTTAGGAATTTTCGAATAAGTATGCCGGCGATTTCTAACGTCGATGGTAAACCGCGAATGGTTACCAACAAGCGTCAAGTATAGTCGGCGATGGTACGAGTAAGGGCCTAGGTGTTCAAGCAGGTATACGTCAATGTTTTGTGATTTTTCATCATTTTGGAGGAAACGATAAAATTAGGGAGTACGAAATTTATTAAATGCCCTTAATGATAATATTAAAACAAGAGATCAATTAGGTGGTTTCTTCGATATCTTTCGATTGATCTTTGTCTCTTCTATTTTTTTTCGTAGATCTTGTCGAATAATGTTGGTGCACTTTCAACGTATTTTAAATTCTCGACTTTTCACAGTCAATTGGAGGGAATTTTTTATAATTTTCCTAGGCCAAGCAGGAAGTATTTGTACTTTATTTCTTGAAATTTACAAGTGTTTCACGAATAGTTAAGAATCGTTAATTTGCGCGCGCGATTAATGTGAATAACCCCATTAGGTGCTAAGTCTATATTATTAATTGTAATTGTTCTATATTACAATTCTTTTTAATTTCGATATTGATGTGATTTCCCATATGTGAGCGTGAGAAAACGCGAAAGATCTCATATACCGTGATCGAAGAAGGAAAGGAGACAATTAAGAATGCCAATACGATGACTACATTGAAATTGGCGGACACGGATAATTAAATTAATGTTCACATTTATTGTGCCAAAGATATGTCTTTTTTCACTTACGTTCGAAGACGAATTTCATTTAAATAATTTTAGCAAGAATTAACATAAGTGTGCATTGAAATGGATAATTTGCGTATATTTCTTAATATATCGATTCCCGTTGAAACATTTTTTTTTCCAAAATATGTACATACGCGAGAGAGAGAGAATTTTTTCGGCTGTAGTTTTTAATTTTTACTGGTTACCAAATTAAGATGCGTCTGACTCTTATATTCTTATATTTATCGAAAAAATATGTTTTATGTTGCAAAAATGAAATCCGAATTTATTAGAATTTATTTCAAAATAATCTGTTATTCCTTGTACAGAACATCGATTCTATGAATGAATATGCATATAAAGATTCTCCAATATTGTTACATGGCAATTTTTAAGGAAACAAAAAATAATTAAAATCTTTTCCTTAAAATTACATTGCAATTTTACATTTATGCCAAGGGAAAAGTGGAATTGATTATTTATTCTTTCTTGCGAGAATTTTATTGTAGATATTACGAAATAAGTCAGCGTAACTTTGAGTGCTTAAAAATACGAAATTACGATTTCGTTAAACTGTAATATAACTCCCATCCTTGGATCATTAGAGCATTACATTCGCGCGTTTGCGACACACAAGACACAGAAAAGATGCGCTTTCTCTATTTTTAATTTGTTCAATTCATTCTTTTGATGATCGTAGTCACGTAGAGATTTGTAAAGCGACATGTTACTGAGGAATTGTATTACTGTCACTTAGATTAATTATGTTTGTCGGATTTCGTGCAGGGCAATGTCTGCTCGTTAAAATTCAGCAATTCGAAACGCCTCGTTCAGTGATGTTTAACGAACAATATTATTAGCAGATTTATCCTCAGCGATCCCTTTCAGACCTGCATTTTTATTATTTTTTATTCTTTTTAATTTTTAAATATTATTATATAAAAGCTTTTATTCTGAATTAAAATGTAATTTAATTGTAAAATTTTTAAGAATTATTTTCCTTATAAATTAAATATTATTGCATGATAATATTAATATAATATTATCATACAAATTAATAAATAATCGAATGATATCCTATTGCGATAATGTTTGCAAAAATTTATACGTCCTATATTAAAAAAAATTTTATTTTGCGTAAAAAATACTTAAAATTGATATTGAAACTGCCATTTTCGTTATTCCGTCGCTTGATCGAGGTGCTTCCAATGATTGCTGTGGCGAATTATTAAACGCACTACGTAATGTACTAAAATTAATGAATACTACGTATGAAATAAATCGAAAAGAATTACGTACCGAAAATATATGCATTTATATATGCAACAATAATATTGTGGTTCTCCCGAAATTTTACTAAAGCTACTACCTTATATATTCAACTCCTTTCTTTTTTTATCTAATAATAACTTTCCGAACACATATAACAATAATAACAATAATAAAATAAATATAATAGTTAAATATAATAAATATAATAATTAAATAAATATATAAAATAAATTAATTAGACAACTAATAAAAGAAAACTTTGGTCACTGTAATAGAACAAGTTTTAGAATTACAATGTAAAGATAATATTTATAATTATTTATACACAGATTAACGTATTACGCACAATATATGGTAAAAATATATTGCAGTTGATTATTACAGTACAAAGGAACATTTAATTAATTTCAGCATTCAGCGCATTTAGCATTTATAAAATAATTTGTTTTCTTAATTTTCAACTCACATTCTCTGCTTAATATTCTAATGACATAATTTACAAGGCAATCTGATTTTCTTAATTTTTTTACATACTACATAAACGTAAAATAAATTTAAGAAAAAACTCGTACGTATAAAAAAATCTATTCTAACTATAAAAAAGTCAATATTGGTTTAAAATCAATTATTGCAATAAGTCATTTTTATTTATATCTCAATTCGTAAAATCAGGCTGCTGAAAACAATGATTTCCTCGTCGGTTGAAAATTATCCAAACGAAATACAACATGGGATATCCGAGAACACACGTGAAGCACGTCGATCTGTATCGGAGTCTCCTCATCGGAGCAGCCTCCGTTCAAAAGAGAAGAATCGGTCCGTCAATCCTCAGGATCCTTCGCGGGCGGATCCCTGTGGGCGGAGTTTCCATCCGTGTTCAACTCCATTTTGTTCCACGAAGGCGGTCTGCAGGTGCTCATCACACCTTCCTCTCTATCCCACCTGGTATCACCTTGGGGCAGCGTGGCGAGCGATCGACCTCCTCGAAGTGGAGGGAACGCGGCGGCGCACATTGCCGGCCAGGAGTTCGCGATACGCGTGTGCCGCGCGCGCTTACGGCTTCGCTCTCGCTTCTCGAGCCAACTGTCAATTTCACCGTCAGACCAATTGTACGTGGGACCGAGAGATATTAGTGACGGTTATTATACGGGATATCAGCCGCGTTCGTCAATTAAATAGAACACATTAAAATGTGAACTCAAAAAGTAGACAAGTATATGTGATACACGTTGCAATGTGATCGATTCAAGGAGACTCGTGTTCTGAGACACATGGATCTATATGGAAAACTAATGAGAGAGAAATGCTTGGGTGATAACAGATTTCAGTCTTTTAAAAATGTTGTCATAATGTTGATGCTGATTTATAAAGCTAATCAAGCATATGATGGACATTTACTTTGTTGCACAAATAATCAAGAGGAAGAATTATGCTTCATTTAGATATCATATGTACACAGATTTATTATCAGAATCTACGATCTATCGAGAAAAGTGATTTTAAATCAAAGAATGTGATTCCTTCAATTATAATTATTGGAGTTTATATCATGACTATTTATTAACTAAACATCTATGACACAGATTTCAATTTCTCGAGTGATTTCTATTTTATCTTGAAGTTTCTATAAATGTTGAGATTGACTATTAGTTTATTAAAGACTAATTATAGACATTGTAACAAATAAAGTGTGCATAATAGTACGAGGAATTTAGACGAAGAATTAACGTAAATAACGTTGTGCTTATTTGAAATATTTACAGTCTCATATAATTGCAATCAAACGTGCAAAGTGATTCCGTTGTGTCTGTGAAAATCTTTGTTAAAGCTGTCAAATGTTAAACAAGGCTAGAGATTGAAATCTCTTGGATCTCCTGTCATAACATCACGTGTCGAAATGTCATCAGCTGATCCTTTCGTTGCTTCGAAAATAATTGCATGGGGAGCAATTTTCTTGTAAATATCACTCGTAAACAAAGTAAGAAGTGACCAGAAGAGCGCATACAAACCATGAAAGAGTTCATCGATTTTTCCAGGTACAAAATGTACGTGCGTGAGTGTGTTTTTACGAGCCCGACAGAGACTGTTTTTGCGTGACGCGCGAATTGTCAATCTGCGATGATACGTGCTCCTGATAACGATCGACGTGATAACATGCCAGCCGACGGGATCGATAGTAAACTATTTGATGATCCGATATCGAGAAGCATTCTTGAACGGTGACGCTTATTCTTGACCGGAATCGTGATAGCACCGTCAATCATTGATGCGAGGATCGAATTTATTGGAGTGTAAACAAAAGAAAAGAAACAATTTGCGACGTGATAACGCAAATATTAATGATGCGATTGCCAGATACTCGAAAATAATCGATCTCGGGAATTAATCACGAAAAAGAGACCAGTGATAACGTTGACATATAAGATATGTAATCGTTGTACTTGTTACCCGGAAAAAAAATTCGTTTATCGGTTAAAAACTCAAGTTATCATCGAATTCCAGAGATATTGCGACGAACTAATGATTATATTATCTAAGCTAACAATAAGTGCACATCCGTGACATATGTTGTGACGCTTCAGATGGAGAACAGCTTCCTCGTAAAGTTGAGTTTGCATGATTGTGACAAGATTGAACGTAGATATTTTTCACAGAAAATTATCGGCAAAAATCAAGATTGCCATTAATCTCTCGCGAGATCCGCTGTAATGTCTTATAAACAAAAAATAAAGTTGCAGATGTTATATGACGTAGTGAAGTACTTGGAATTTTTATCCAACTGTAAATTAGATTATGAGTATCAGATATATCACGCTGAGTATTATATATTAAGTGTCATCGGACTCGAGCGTTAACAAGGTTGCGGGAACGGAGGTGCAAAGAAATCAGCGCGGCTTGTTAATAAGCGGATAACATTCAATTGTGTATGTCGTTAATAAGGTCGCGCGAACGAAGATGCGGGAGACAACGCCGACGGCGAAGATGGCACGATTCCGGTGTCTACGGTGAGAGGACGTGAGGTCTCCGAGTCTTTGCTGAATTGTGCGACTGAATCGACGATGGATCTCAGCACAACGCCCAGAAGAGCCACGGACGGCGTTGGTGACATACAAAAGACCAGAGTGGCGAAAAGTGTCTTCAGCATCCGCAGCCTCGTCGATGTCGAGGAAGCGGAGCTACCCGCGCAGGATGAGTGTTCGCCAAGTGAGTCTTATTTGTTGGATAATCTCATTTAGAATTATCATAATCCGTTGCTTACATCGGTGAAAGCAAGTGGTCTTGATTTTAACAGGAATAAAATATTTTTTATAAATATATTAAAATATATTAATCCAAAATATATTTTTATTATAAAAAATTTCTCAGAAACATTATATTAGATATATTAGAGACATAATTTAAAAGAAATATCGGCTTTCTTATCTCTAACGATAATTATTTAATATCTCTTTACATTATAAAAAATTTATTACCTCTTCTATTTTCTTAAAATTCTTTTTTTGAAAAATGAGATTCATGCGTATAGTTATTTCAAAGAGATGAAAACAATTTAATAATAGTAACTACCATTAGAAATTCATGCGCATAGTTATTTCAAAGAGATAAAAACAGTCTAATAATAGTAACTACTATTATTACAAATATACTACAACTTACAATACTAAGCAAATAACTATAAAAATATATGTAATATGTAACAATGAGTCATAGTAAATTTTAAACATGCGAAATTACGTGTGAGAGAAAAAGAAAAAATAATTACATATAAAGATACTAAATGTATTTTGGATGAAATGAGGATTTTATTGCTTCATAGATATGAATAAATGAATATGCTATGAAACATGACAGGTATATCATATTTCAAAGCAAATCTAAATCTGATAGGCAAGTTAATCATCAAGTTGATTAAGTTGGATAATTATTAGCATGACCTATGTAATTTATCGTCGCATAAAAAAAATCATTCTAGTAGAGTTGATTACACAACGCTATGGAATTCTTATTTATGTATGATGCTTATTTATGATTTCCTTGTTTTATAACGATATATCGGAATAAGTTGAATGACAGATCTCATATAACGCATGTGTATAAAACATACATGTATGTTAACGAGATAAATCTATAAATTGTAACCGTGAAAGAAATCATGATTTTTTAAACTATATATTAATATATAAAATCTAACATTAAATAAAGAGAAATGTAATATAATATTTATAAGTATATGATAAAAAATCAATAATATAATATTTATAGAAAAGTAATCATTGTATTGATTTTTGTAATTTTTTTAATAATTAAAATTTTTCTAAAATATATTAGAATATATTAGAAACTAAAAACTTTTGCAGGACATAATATATCTTAGACATTAGTTAACGGAAACGCGCAAATATTTCCGTTAAATATTTCCCGTGGAAAGGAACATTGAGAAACAAAAGCAAGATCAATCGTGACATCAGGTTTTCAAAGGATCAGTTACCTATCTCGATTAAAGCCGCATGACATTCCGAGGGGGCTTGAGAAATCCCGGACCCCGAGGTTTACTTTTTCCCCACGAGTGCCTTTTGTGCCAAAGACTCGGCAAAAACTCGGCCGCTCTTATAAGAGCGGTGGAGTTAATTAAGGCGCATTTAAAGTCGGTAAGATCGCGATAAGATGGCGATTAACTCGAAATTAGTCCGCCCATGGATCTAGCAAAAACTGTATCGCTGTCGTTATTGCTGACACGTATCGACGGTGCAGATAAATACGTGATTGAGATGATGCCCAATTAGAGATTCGAAGTATAGAGCGAATTGTTACGTCACCATTAGAATTTATTTTTTATTGTTACGTCACCATTAGAATTCATTTCTCGTGAACCGCAAAAACATCTCTCGAAAACAATGACACTTTTCTATTTACTCATTTAATTATTTTACTCTCATCCCTCCTAAATGACAAACGCGATGTTTATTAACAAATAAAGAATTAAATAAAATTGCTATATTTTTATAGTAAATTCTGGAGTTTCGATAATAAAATCTAAAATTTTTCCTTAAAAATATATATTTATAAATTGATATATTTTCTCGATATTGTTGGCATGTCGCACGCATCTGTAGCATCTAGAAAAACAACGAGAAAGGTCCGAACACGATGTGAGCGACTAACGGAAAAGCGCTATCGGCCAAGTTTCTAGTTGGCCGATATGCAAAATATGTGCCCGGCAACGATAACGCGCATTACTCGACTCTCATACGGTGGCGAATAAATAGCAAATTACCATTTAGTCGTCGGCCGATAAAGCGAAACGAGCTTGCGAAATCTCGGAATCTCATCCGCGCAACTCTATGAACTATCGTCTTGTAATCGAGTAATTAACAAGATAGCGATTGGATTAATGAATTACACATGTGCGTAATGTAACCAAGACCGGTGATATTAATTTATACAGAAACATCGAGCAACGAATATATATCATTTCGATTCAGGAACGTACTCCCTAAAAGTGAATCAGTGTATTAATCACTGAAAAAAGTAAATAGTCTGATTACAGCAGTTATAAGTACAGCATTGTAAATCAGTGATATTTTATTGAAAGAATCAGTTAATAATTTTGACTGTTTTAATCAGTAATATTTCTCAATATCAGTAATATTTCTTTCGTTATTGCCAGTAACATTAAAACTACAATTCATCTCTCTATCTATTTCATATAAAATTAAAAATTTTATTTATATGTACTAAATATTTATTATATTAAAAATTTTATTTTATTTATATTACATGCATATTGAACTGTTATTTTTAACGAACGAATAATTTTCATTAAGTCGCCAGACATTTATTTGTCCGACTGTTTGTCCGATTTGTTTGACTTATAAGATTTTTATATCTGAAGTTTCTCTATTGAAATTGTATCAGAAATTAAATCGAAGTAATACTTCTAATTTTATCTGTCGTTCTTTGCAAACTTTATATAATTCTTATAATTAAAAAACTAAATATAAGAGAGATAGTAATCGTAGCGATAAACGAACGAACTAGCGATTACTGGTTTTACAGTGAAATTTACTGGTTTTACAGTGAAATTTACTGGTTTTATAATGAATTTTAACTGACCACAATCAGTGAAATATAAGATAAAATAACAAAAAAAAATAAGCTGAAGATCAGTAAAATACTCACTGATTCTCAGTGAAATCTTATTTTACTGTTTAAATTAGTGATATTTTCTGATTCACTTTTAGAGAGTAACCAGAGATTAGTAGAGTTTATTAATATAACATTAAAATTACATATATTAATTTTCAATTAGATTGTATTATATGTTTATTATTATACATATTTATACAACTATGATATTTTTTATTTACTTAAATTGCCGAGATGCATAGACACACTACTGTTTACCTTGTATTGTTTTCAAACAACGAATTGTTAATTTTCATGTTTCTGTGTACATGGTTGCAAATGACTCGTTATATATCGTCCTGATCGAATTTACGATATACGTAAAACGAATTATGTTACGAATAAACACGTGGATATAGATAAACGTTTGAAATAAGAATTGCTAATTTAATGAAGTCACAGCGATATTTAACAAATTCAAATAAGAAAAGACACGTAATTGTTGTATTTTAAAAGATAATGAATTATTTTTTAAAACGAAGTGAAGAAGTTGTATCAAAATCTATTAGTATGCTGAAGTACGCGTTTTCAGATTAAAGATAAAATATAATATTAATTATTATATATTATATATATTTTTTTATTTAAGGATTTAACAAGAAGCAAAAAGAAATATATCGGGATTATAATAATACTTTGTATATTCAACACAGTATGTTTCCGGATACAGTTATCTTTATTTATTGTTAAAATATCTTTATTTATTGTTAAATTTCTGTATACAAATTTCGTATTTTTTGTTGTCAATTTATTGTGAAAAGAGAACGAAACTGTATTATTATCGCCACATTAATGCCGGTATTATTAACTTTGTAGATACTTGCGTAGATACTTTGTAGGTAAATACTTAAAAATGGATATAAATAATTACCCGTGTACAGACGCATAGATAAGCAAACTAAAATAGGTGGCTGTACTGCGATATAGCGAGTAAAATGTGTTTTAGTTACCTTTACTTAAGTAATTCTTGTCGAAGTCGATAAAAAATATTTTTCCTAATGATTCGAGTTATCCACGATTAGTGGAAAATATTTTAAAATTTCATATAATCAATAATCTTCGTATAATCGAAAATTTCACATGATATGAAATGTCGTGCAATCTAGCAAAAACCTGCAATAAAATGGAACTATTTTTTTCTCTTCATTCTTTCTTGTCACAAAATTAATTATCGAAATATAGAGTGCGACTTAAGATAGTTGAAATGTTCGTGCATTCGTAGCCCGAAACTGCAAATATTGGCTTTTCTATTTAATGACAAAAGTGTCTAAAGGAGTGAGATGGCATGTGCACGAGTTGGTTTATCGCCGCCATATTACGAGATCCGGTCTGGTCGATTAAATGCTATAAATGGCCATGACAGAGGGTGTAATAGAATTGGGGTAACTCCGGGCCAATGGCGTTCCGCGATTAGGGGTGGTTGTTCGTGCTCGATTGGCTTTCATGGAGGGTTGATGTTCCCCGGAGGTAAGCTACGTCTTTATCCTCCCATCGATTCCCGTTATCCCATTACAGAAACGACCCACCCCCGCGTTTAAAATTTCATCGTCCCGGAAATGTTACAATCCCGTATGTATGCTTACTAATTTTCTATTCAAATTAGTGACTCTATATAATTGCATGGAATTACTTGGAAACTTTTATCGTCAATGGATACCCCGATAATTTCCCCATTTAATATCTCAAAAGTTACACTGCATTCGCAAAAAAATACGAATATCTTTCTTTTCGTGATAGAATAATAACATGTATATCATCATTGTATATTTTATTATTTCGTTTATTTAATTATAAAATTAAGAAAATTTTCAAAAATAATGAAAATATAATTTATAATTTTTTAAAAAATGCAAGAGAATTACATAAAAATGATTAAAATAATAACTCTTGTTACTTGATACATAAGATGACAATTTTTTGACTAAAATATATTAAATGTAAAAATATAATATCCAATATTAAATAATCCAGCAAACGCTATGCGACTAATGTTATCGTTGAAGTTATATCACCAGTGG